TAATGTTAATAATAAATAATTTAGACTAAACTAATTATTGAATAATTCAACAATAGAAATAACTAGCAACTAATTATGCAATCTCTTATAATCATATTTATAAAACATACCAGAAAGTATTTTTTTTTAAATTCATTTAGATTAATCACTAGAGTTATAGATTTTATATAATAATTATTATTGATTCAAGAGAAACATATTTAGTTAAAATTAGAAATTTAACAATTATCAACTGTAATATTCAACTGAAAAGAAATTCTTACTAATTAGTTTTTTATTTCCATTTGGATAAACAAGCCAATAAGTTTTACTTCCATTCAATACATGATAAATATTGATAGTATCCCATTTTAAATTTAATGTAGCAGATTTCAAGGCTACTACTGAACATGGACCAGTATGTCGAATATCTAAATATAGAAAATATTTTTACTTAGAAAGATAATTTTCAATTTTGATTTACTTGTATTATATTCAATAAAAGATGAATCTATAACTTGCCATCCAGAATTAGATTCTGGTAAATCATCTCGACGAATCCAACATTCATTCCATACATGCCAAGGACTATCATAAGAATCAATGAAAAATAAAATATAATTTAAAATTGATATTACTTACCGTGTTAGTTTTGAGTTAACTACAATAGTAGGTCGTTGTCTTGTATTCCAATTGACATCAATATTTTCTTTTTCTTGATTTTGACTAATTGCATTATAAACAGTAACAATACGACATGGAATACCTAATGATCGACATAAACTACAAAAGACAACAGCATGTTGCCAATTACAACCACTATCACCTTGAAACATTTGATTATTTAATCGTAAACATTGTTGTAAAATAGCTGGACTACTTGTATATCCATTATTTTGATATGAAATTAGATGATTATTCAATAATGATGGAAATATACCATTATGTTTTTCAAGATCTGAACATATTTTTGATGAAAGAATTCGAAGAATTAAACATGTATCAATATGATTTTGTGTTGATAAATGTGTTTTATTAAGAAGAGTAAGAGCTGTAAGTAATACAACTCTTTCAAATTGTCCAAAATACCATGGAATAGATTGAGGAATGTCAGATGAACCAAGATAAATTTGTCCATGTTCATTCATAACATATTCTGCAATTTCATCAGATGATAATAATGCACATGAATCATTTTTATTCCATGGATTAAATAGAAAATAAATATCAGTATCAAAATGAAATATTGAAAGATCTTGTTGATTTATTAAATCTTTTGTAATTGAACAAATTTCTAATAAAAGCTATTAATATAGAAAGAAAGAAATGTTTGTAAGAATATTTCTATTTATATATATATATGTACTTACAGAATATTTTCCAATAATAGTATTAGAAGGAGGATTGATTTGTAAACAAATACAATTATCCTTCTGATTTTCTATGAAGAGTCGTTTTGCTGACCATCCATTTGATGAAGTATTCAATGGAATTTTGATATTTGGAATATTGATCCATGTTTGAGATTTGAAAATAACTGATAAATGATATTTATCCATATGAAAATCTTGATTAAATATTATTGTAAATGAAAATGGTTGACCTCGTCGAAGTATAAGACCTTGAATGTCATAATAACATGTCAAATGTTCTTCCATATTTTTGTTCATATGCATATCAGCTTCAATCGGAATCAATCTAGTGGCTGAAAACAAAGGTTTCAGATTAAAAACAGAATACATGTAAAAAATAAATTCCTATTTGAATGATCAGACTAAGATGTTTTTAAGACTTCATAAATACATCACATATTTGTCCCTTTGACGGTGTCAAATAATTTCCAAAAAAAAAATTAATAAACGTCTTTAATGTTTTACTACAATTATTAGTGTACAATAGATACAATTATTAGAGACTGTATTATAGATGAAACATATCAAGTTACAAGCATTGATTGATAAACATAGGAAAAAAAGAATGTATTCTCCCTAGACGAACTTCTTTTGATCTGCTCAGGAGATACTTGAGAATCTTGGTCAGGAAAGTCTTGCTCTATGGACAAATCCTAAGGCAAGACTTGAGCCCTTTCGGCGAGCTCAAGCTCTTGAACTTTCTTGTTCTATCGCTTGATATTCTTGCACATGCGCTTGAATTCTTATGCAAGCGTTTCTGTTATTCAAGAATTTCTTATATTTTTTTTCAACTTTACGTTCAAAATATCTCAACTTTTAATAAAAATTCATTGGTGTATTTTCATGCAACACTCAAGCGTTTGTCTTGAGCAAGAAAGTCATGCGCTATGGACAAAACTTGAGGTCTGCGCAGATCAAGTGCATGAAAAAAAAAAATCGTCTATGGCTTTTACAGCAACAAACAATTATAATTATTTCAATTTACAATTCTCGATTGATTTCATTATTCTTTCGTGGATAAATAAGTATGTTTACATGAATTTCAAGATTCCAAAGTTGTGATACTCTCATTTTTCTAATCCATACTAAAAAACTTCAATATCAGTTGTTTTCAGATGATTTTACTTTTTTTATGTTACCGATTTATTGAGCTTTTAAAAGAATCTTTTGTTAAATCTGTGATGAAAATTAAGCAATTAACAATGTCTTAATTCAAAAGAAAATTTGATGTGTATTGTCAACATCATAATCAGTGCAAATATATAAGTTATCATATCCCAACAACTTAATCATCAATAATACCTTTCAATAAAAGCAATCAAAAAACATTCTCACATATAACTGAAGAATAGAAAGATATTTTCTAGATTTTTAAGTGTTCAAGATTCTTTGATACATTAATGTTTATCCAATTCTTTATCCTGAATTAAACATTTTAATCAATCTTAATATATTCTCAATTTTACGAACTACTTTCATTACACTAGTTAAAGTAGTGTAAAGCAAAAAAAGAAAGAAATTATGAGAAAAAACTTCAATGTTCGATTATATTAAATTCTATAGATAAAGAATAGATTTGAATGGTCTTACCCATCTTCGACGTATTGTATTGTTGATGATTTTGTTCTATGAAAATTCTAAATTAATTATATTTTAATTTTTTATTATTTTCATAATTTTATATTAATAATGATTATTTGACTTACAATGAGGAAGATGAATCTGATATATTTGAAGAATAAGGCAAAAAAGTCTTATTCTGAGAATCAATCAAATGTTGTAACGGGTTATTATCAGCTTGCATAGACTCGTCTATAATGTATGTTTGTTTCTTAATTTAGGTGAAACTATCACATGTGTATAACAATTTATTTTTTTCTTATGTGATGTCATGCGTATCACATTCAAGTGAGATTATTAGTAAAAATGTATTGCTAATAAGAAAGAAAAAAAAAATACATTTGTTCTCTCTTCTTCTATTTATTTTACATCCAAATACATATACATAAAAGATATGATTGTCTTTTTTTATGTTTATTGTTATTATATGCTTAAGATTAGACTTCTTTTCATTGAATCTATTTATAAAGTTGTCAAATTTCATTAATAAAAAAAAGAAAAGGGTAGCAATTTTTTTGGAAAAATATACTTTTGATGACCAAAAAAAGATACAATTGATCACCAAACTAATTAGTGCGCAGTGAGTGACAGCGAGTTACTGTTATGAGTTATGGATAATAGACTTACGATAGATCATATACTTATCGTAAACGTTGATTGATCAATTAAACAAGCTTAAATAAAAAAGGATAATCTTATTCGGTCTGAATGATCCAATTAACTAAAAACACTTTTAAAATGTGTCCAGTCATAAGGAACCATAACATACAGTGGCGGATTTAGGGGGGTCGCTTGGGGCGATCGCCCCCATTCGAAAAAAAATTTTCGATTTTTCCCAGCAGAAAAGACTTAAAGATAGAGTGCATACTACTACTAATGAACTTCAAAACTCGATTTTTGGTCAAAATCGCCCCATATCTATCAAATCGCCCCTTATCAAAAAAATCCTAGATCCGCCGCTAATAACATACTAAAAATGTGTAGTAAAGAATGGACATTATTACACATCACTAAATCATATGAAGAAGCAAAAGACTTTGCAACAACAAAATATAATGCTTGTCAATATCGATTTGGTTAGATCTTTATAATTCAAGTCAATGGACATCATTTGAACATTATGTTGCATGGAAATCATCGTGTTGGCTGGTGTCACCACTTGGGTCTTGTACATGTCCAATCGGACTCGAGGAATATAGATGCAAACATTTTATTGAACTGGCGATTATGTTCAACATTTACAAAATTAAAGATGAAACTCGCCTTATACCATTGGGAAAACGAAAAACTCCAGACCATCCAAAAAAATTTCGCACGGCATTATTACCATGATTTATTATTAACATTATCTGTTGTTTTTGTGTCAGTTTTGTGTGGAGTATTTTCGTTAGAGTATGGGATTGTTAGCCATGTACTATCCATTTATTCATAATGAATTTGGTGATCAATTGTATGTTTTTTCAGTGCTCAAAAATATTCATATCCTAAATGATTTCTATATATTCAATTGTTTAAGTCTGCATGATATACTTCGTAATTAATCCTTTATTATTACTTTTAGCAGTATTCATTACATAATTGATAATCATTTGTTAATGATTTTATAACGTTTTTTACTAACGATTAGATTATTTCTTAGAATCGAAATAAATAAATTCTGAGATTTGTTTTTAGTCTTACCCAGTGAAAAATTTTAAGGATTTAATCAGAATTATTTTGCACCAAAATCAAAATTAAAATCGATTGAAATCCTCGATTATAATCGACTATGATTGAATCAAAACTTGATTCCATTGCTTGTATAGTGAAAATTTTCCCGATTAAAATCTAATTATTCTGCAGCAAAATCGAAACTACAAATTCGATTATAATTATGATTTTGCTCCAAAATAATCAGATTTTAATCGGGAAAATTTTCACTATACAAGCAATGGAATCAAGTTTTGATTCAATCATAGTCTATTATAATCGAAGATTTCAATCG